GCTTGGCAGGTGGATTCTTTACCACTGAGCCACCTGGGAAACCCCATGTGCACATACTTAACTTTAGAATTCAAAAGTAATATATAAAAACAAACAAAAAGCCCCAGGCTGGCTGGCAGTGCTGGATGTCCCCAGGTCCCCTGCTTCGTTCACTCATTTCTTCACAGTGCAAATAAAAAGTCTGTTGCAGCTCCACAGCTGCCTGCGTGGGAAGCCCCCAGCCCCTCTTTCCGCGCCTCCGGAGACCCCGGAGGAGCATCCTTGTGGCAGGGCCCGGCGCGGCAGCCTGTGCCAAAGCAACACTAACGCAAAGGGCTGTTTGTGGGAAATTTTCCCTGGAGGTCAGGACATTTTGGAGACATAGGATAGGACACAACTTCTAATTCAGTCCTCAGATATCCCAGTCTCTAGAAATGTAAGACTGGCTCTGCACGTGAACGTCTTACCTGCTCTGGCCGTGGCGCGGACTCCTTTTCTACTCCGCCACCTTGCCGGGTTGGGACGTGACTCTCAGCCTGGCTGTGTATTAGAAGCACCTGGACCGGAAGTGCCCTCAAGTGGGCCCCACCCCTGCCCAGGTTATGGCGGGCTCCGCTCCAGAGAGGTCGGGGGCTCTGTGACGGAGGCAGTCTCCAGGTGGGTTCTAATGTGTAACCAGGAAGAGAAGCACTGCCGTACTCTGCTCTGCTCTCTCTAGTTGCCAGAGAATAGTCCCCAGATTCTTGGTTGCTTTGTTTTCTTTTAACCTGAGGAGTAGTTTGACTGTTTTTCCCTCTTTCGGATTATGCAGCCCCTCAGACAGCATCCAGATTGTAAATGAACATTCTTTCCCTTCCTTCTCTGTGTATGCACACATATGCAAGCCTTTTAAAAGTGCATCATACCACTTACATTGTTCTGCAGTTTACTTTCCACTTGATTTCCTTTTATGCCTGTAAGAATGATATTATTAATTAATCAAAAGCCATATCATATTCCTTTATTAAGCACATACCATTGTCTTGCTGATATCATCTGGGTTTTTCCTGATATTTCGCTATTGCGAATTATGCTGCAGTGAACATCCATATGGGTCTGTATCCTTCAAAGCTTGTGCAAATATTTTCAGAGTATCACCAAAGTCAAAGGATACTGTACATTTAAAATTTTGACAAGTATTGCAAAAATGCTATTTTACATGACATATTGATTTAATCTCTCACCAACAGTTTGTTAAAGCATCTCCTTTCCACGCTCTTAACAACACCAAATATCATCAAATCATTCATTTTTTTAATTACTATTTGCTAACCTGCTAGGCAAAAGAAAAAAAAGTGTTACACTATTCGAGTTTGCTTTGTCTGACTCCTAGTGAAGTTGAACATCTTTTTATCTTGTTATAAGTACTTTGTATTTCTCCTATGAATGAACTGTTTCATAGATTTTTTTTTTAATGACAATTAGTTTGGAAGATGCAATGTAATTCCTATTTCCCTCCTTACCTCTTTTTTGCTCTAATAGGTCTATAACATTATCCATTTAATTCTTGATTTAGTCAAAAGAATAGAGGGAAGCAGAGTATGCCAAATTCAAAATTTGAGAAAAACACAATTTACAGGAGTATTTAAAATGTGTTTGTAGAAAGAGCACAGATCTGTGGGTGAGACATATCTGATTCACATTTTTTTAATAGTCTGCCTCTGTCTCACGGGGTGACTCTGGGGATTTGACTTTCCTTACTGAGCCCTGGTTTCCATAACTGTAGAATGGGAATAATAATCTACTTTGCCTAATCATGGTAATTACATAAGACAATGTGTGGAGCCTGGCACACAGTGCTGTGCTTATTATTATAATGTTATTATACCATTTGAATATTGGAGTTCTTCTAAACTAAGAAACATTATTGTGAGTTTCTTACTCTAAATCAGGCCACCTAGGCTTAGATCCCCTGCCTTCTGCCTCTCTGATGGAGTGGGTGTTTCCCTCTTCGAGGTTAAAGATTTGAATGTCAAGTCCGCAAACTCAGTATATAGAAAAGGCAGAGGTAACCCCCAAGTGTGACTGAGCACTGCTTGGACTGCATGTTAGGGATGGGACCTGGAGATGCCAGCAAACCCAGTATCAGAGGTGTTTCACTTTCCCTCTTGGTTAATTGTCAGAGTCTGTGATTAAACCGCAATCAAGAACTGATCATGGTTCCGGTGGAAATACTTTCACTTATAAGTAACAGACCCCGGGGACACTAAAAGATGAGGAAACCTTAGTATCTTGGATCACAAGAAGTCTGAAAGGAGGGCAGGGTGATGGTGGGTTCATTCAAGCAGTTCAGCAACACCCTCTGGAGGCTAGTTCTTCCTGCCTTTCCAGGCTGCTGTCTACAGCCTGTTGCTTGTCCTGCATTAGCTGCTTCATGTCCCAAGGAGGCAGCTGCAGAAAACTGCATCCAGAGACAGAGAAAAGGACATTCATCTCTTTTAAAGAGTGAAGGAACCTTTCCTACAAGCCTCCCAACAGATTATTTGTAACATCATATTGGCCCAAATTGTATCACTACATACTCTATGCAAAAAAAAAAAAAAAAAAAAAATCAGTGGCAGAACAGTGCAATTAGTATTAATGATTTGGGTTGTTCTGGGTCAGAAAGAGTCCAAGCCAGTTCTGAAGCACGTGGCTACCCAACACCTGAACAGAAGTTAGAAGGAAGAGAGAAGTGGCCACAGCCACTCAATAGTGAATGACAGTGATGATCAACAGGGTGTACCACTGCCGCATGTGCCTGTAAGAACTCATAAAGTGTATTTTAAATTAATATGCAAACCCTTCAGTTAATCATATAAAAATACCAAGTTCTAATTTTGTAACCTGGAAACTTAGTATTAATATTACAAAGTAGAGTAATATATCCCATTATTTTCCAAGACAGAAGTATTACTTGTGAGTACATGAGTCAGCTTTTAAAGGAATAAGCTTTGACGAATAAGCGTTCATAGTCAGTTCCCAAACACTTGGCATTGAGTGAGCTCTGTGTGGCTCCATCAAGATCTTCGAACAGAAAGCTCCTGGACAGGTGACCCAAGTGAGGCAGAGCGGGTGGAGTCAAGATGGCCCTCCTAGTAGTGTTTCTCTGGCAGAGGCCTGCTATCCAGGTCACCTAATGAGTCTCAAACCAAACACCTGCCATATAATGATAGGGGGGCAGAGTGGGGGGCACAAGGGAAGTGTAGTTCCAGAAAAGGAGTCCATTCTGAAACACCCTTTAAAGATGCCCAGAGCCCCGTGACCTGGAGGACCACACTCAGGACATTTCTCCTTCCTCGTGTGTGCTTCCCTCCAAAGCTGGCTTATGCTGAAGAGGTCAGACTTCAAATGTAACAGGGCACAGTCCTCATGGTGGGCAAAGCAGGAAAGGTGTGGTGCTACGGCCTGAGCCAAGAAGGGGATGCATAACGGTGGAGCCACCGTGCTGTCCCGGTTCCTTCTAGACTGCTTTGTGGGACTGACCTTCTGCAGTGATGAACATTCTGCATGCTTGGTTCTACCATAGCCTTGGATGGAAACTGAGTCTGTGGAACAGGCAAAACCTGGGTAGAGTTACCTGCGGTGAGGCCCTGGGGAGGGACAGGCAGCCTGGAACACTGGTTTCTGTGAGGTGGGGTGTGGGGGTGAGCTGGGGTGCTGTGGGGAGCTCTACCGCAGTTTTGTGCTGGAGCCAACCCCCATATCCCCACCCACCCCAACTAAGAACCTCAGAGGGTGGGCAGAGTTCCAACCATCAGCTCCTAGTTCTTAGAAACAGGGCTGTCAATGCGTTACCCTAAGAATTTTGTTCCTAGTACCGCCTCAGATAATGTCACCGAGGGGTTTCACCCCCCTTCTGCCTATGCCTCCCACCCGCAACACCCCTTGGCTTAGGCACGCAAATGGAGAGGACGGAGGCCCTCAGAAGGCGGGTTTCTCATCCTCTGCTCTGTGCCTGAGCTGAGGACCAAAGGCTCAGACTCGGTGAGGTCTCCAAGGTCGGTCTCTCCCACAGCCTCTCTCACTCAGAAATGAGTGTCACAGTGTTCTGGGGAGCTGATGAGGGAGACCCTACTCATCCCACTTGCCTCTCTTTCCTCTCTCCAAAAGAACAGAGCGAGCTCAGCTCTCACTGAGTTATTCAGAGTAACTCACCCAGAGCTGAGTGATAATCCCCCAAATTTAATGTCACCCTCAGGGTCACTGACTGACTTTCCAGTGTCCCCTGACTCTGTCCTTACTGGCTGTGTAACCTTGGACAAGTGCCTTTACACTCTGCAAGTCTTGCTCCTCAGTCATCTGCAAATGAATCCTGTAACACAGGCTTGTGAAGATCAAGGTCATCGAGACAGAGTGCAGAAGCATCAGCACCATGCCTGGACCATGGAAAACACCTCATAAATAGGAATAATCACTATTATCGGCTTATCAAAAGAAAACAGGCTTAGCAATTATTTGTTCGAGTGATAGTATACATTTTCAACATAGTAAAACTTATTTATTTAGAAAATACTCTAATTCATTCCCTCATTTTTCAAACTGGCCCCACACCCCAGTAAATTCAAATTAGTGAGGTTTTTTTTTATCCCCATAGGGAAGCAGGTTCACAGTCAGATGCTGCCCTCCCCACCTGCTGCAGTCCGTGTAGTGCACCCAGAGCGACCAGCAAGTGACTGCAACATCTCCCAGTTCTGAGTTCCAGGATCTTGGGTCTTCAGTTACTTCCCTTTTCCTTCCCCCACCTCTGCCTTTTAAAAATATATATATATTTTTTTATTGCAGTGTAGTTAATTTACAATGTTGTGTTAATTTCTACTGCACAGCAAAGTCATGCAGTTATACATACATATATATATATATATATATATACACCTTTTTTTTTCATATTTTCTACCATGATGGTTTATGGTCACTTCCTGATTGCTTGGAGGTAAGAAAAGTGGCAACGTGTGTGTATATTTGAATCTGCCTCCACTGAACTCACCCATCCTTTCCCACAGGCTGTAAAGAGGTTCTTGAAACAGGAGTGCAAGTGTCATGGTGTGAGCGGTTCATGTACCCTGAGGACCTGCTGGCTGGCCATGGCTGACTTCAGGAAAACAGGCAATTATCTCTGGAGGAAGTACAATGGGGCCATCCAAGTTGTCATGAACCAGGATGGCACTGGTTTCACTGTGGCTAACAAGAGGTTTAAAAAGCCAACGAAAAATGACCTCGTGTATTTTGAGAATTCTCCAGACTACTGTATCAGGGACCGAGATGCAGGTAAGTTCAAAACACTATTCAAAGTACCTAATTCTTCCAAGAATCAGCACTCCTCAAGTTAAGTACAGTACTGTATTTTCCACCTGCTAGTCTTCTAAGTACAGCCTGCTGTCTTCAGGTTCAAAGCCCAGGTTCTTTAGCATTCATATTTTAAGTGCACAGAAAGCTCTCCTAAGCAACTGGAGCAATTCACTGATAATGTGCAGATTCTGGAGAAATGGGAACCCAACAAGAATGTACGTGGCAAAAAGTCAAAATATTCAGATTAGCAAAAGTCCTCAGCCTGGGCAGAACTCTAATTGGTGGGATCATGTCCACTATGTATAGAAACCCAGCATCTTCCCTGTGATTTGACGCTCAGGGGAGGACAGCTTTGCAGTGTATCTGCCCCTTTAAGTCCCAGCTTTGTGATTGTGGAAGAGGGTCCCCAGGCTTTACAGTTAGCCTGTCCTAAAATCCTCCATACTTCACACTCCCTCGCTCTTTCCAAAATGCTCTGAAGTTGCCAAATACTTGAAAGCAGGAATTCATCCCCACTAGCTCAGCTGTCGGAGACCGGTGGATGAGGGCTGCCTAAGAGGCACTAGGTTTATTAAAGCCACACCCTTCCCTCGCTGACGGCACCTTCCCTGTCCTGACCTCATCAGAGGGCAGCTCCACCAGCCTCAGTACAGCGGTTGCCACCGGTGGGCTTCACACATGTGCTTCTCCCCTCGTGCCCTTCCTGGTCAGCCCTGAACTCCGGGCTTAGCGCAAAATCCATTAAAGACTTTGATACAGAAAAAGAATGACCACTACATCTCAGTGGAGAGGAGGTGATGGGGAGCCCACAGCCAACTTATCTCAAGCCAACTTCTCAGACTTAGTAGAAAGCAAGGGAATTCATTACCAGGAAAAACATCCTCGAATTCAAATTCTGAATTTGTTTTTCATTCCAAAGTAATTGCAAAGGAAACAGTAAAACAGAGCAGACGTCAGCAGCTCCTATCACAGGTCTGAGCAGGATTATCAGGGGATGTCACAAAAAGTCCAGAGCCTCTTCTTTGTCCTTGAGTGGTTGAATTGCCTTCATGGTTTGATGAGCTGATTCTTTGCAGCCCCGGAGCACGTTTGGACATGCAGCCCCTGGATTAATAACTGCTGAGCGAAAGGGCCAGATGCTGTGCCCTGCTGCATTCCTCACGTGCTTTTCGACCTCTAACAAGTCATCCTACCTGTTAGGCCAAAGTTTCCACCGAATCCCCAAGAAACCTGTGTTTTGGTACAGGAGGGTCCCAGAGGTCTGGGTTCCTTTCTGCCATTAACTAGCTGCTTAACCTCAGACTGCTCAGACAAGCATGGGGCTGATGACATCAGGATCACTTTAGGAACGATGTACTGACTCCTGTGTGCCAGGTACTGCTCTAAGACAATTGCACACATGGTCTTATTTAATCCTTAGAACCGCCCTATGACATCAGTGCACTGGAACTGATTATTGAAGAAAAAAGACAAAAATGATTAAGAAGAGGGTGGCTCCTGGTTGATCAACATCAACCAGGAACCAAATTCACCTCTTATATTTTTGAGATCAGTTAAGCACCCTGGATATCATTGTCCCTATTGTACAGATGAGAAAGTGAGTAACCAGCTCAAGATCTGGCTGGTCTTGGAGGGGATGAATGTCCAGTTGTCTGACCCCATGGCCTGCGCTCCTAACCCAGACATTACAACTTGCTCCTGTCTTTCTCCCAGGTTTGAAGCACCTCACTTCAAACATAAGAGGACCTGCTTCCCCTGGACATCTTTACTGGTTTTTTGAATTGAAGCAGTTTGCCCAGTGAAGCAGTTATATATGATGACCATTTAATTGCTACATATAGATAGAAAGACCTTACTTTCTTCACAATAGGGAGATTCTGAATTGAATCCCTGCTGCCTCTTCAGGATACTAAGTTATTCTTGTACACTTTGCTTTTTATACTCCCATATATTAGAACACGATTCTGTTTCTTGATCCTAAAATAGCGAACACATTTGCAGTACCCACCACATGTTAGGGCTTGATCCATATTCTCTCATTGAGTAAGGTGGGATGTTATTATCCTACTTCATGGGAGGGGAAACTGAGGCTCACACAGGTTACGGATTTTTCCCAAGGACTCTAATGGGTAAGAGGCAGAGCAGGGATTTGAATCCAAGTCCTTCCGTCCTTGTAACTATTTCACTCTGCCTCCAAATGCACCAGCCATAAGGCCTACTGCTGCAGGTCCAGACTTTCTGAGGGAGGTTATATAATTTACTCACTCTCTTAATTTATTTCCCTTCTATTTTGGGCTTATTTTAGCTTCTCTGACTTAAAAAGATGTGAATTTTGTTCTGGGTTGGTACTGATTTACCGGGAGACACCTTGTTATTTTTTTAAGTAGCCAGTTCCATTGTTTTAGATCAGATTTCCAGTAAGATTCCTAGATTATTCATAAATTGAACTATACTTAAGGCCTTTTTATTTTAGCTAAGCCTAGAAAAATGCCAAAGTCATCTATGAAAACTTGCAATATTGCTTTTTAGTTCCGTTGACCGTCAGATGACTGTTTTAGTGAAAATATGATTTAGAGTGTTTGATATTATGTGGAGAAATTTTGGATTGCTGACAGTATTTTTTCATTGTTCATATCTGGACAAATAACACTTACAAATAACACACATATGAGATGCAGATTTTCCCTGAGACAGCCTCCTTTAACCCAAAGGGCTGCTGAGGGCCTTGCCCTGGTCTGTGTAGAGATGAGACTTTCTCCAGACTACTTTCTACTAGAGACTTCTGTGGTATGTGCTCTGAAAAGTCGGTCAAAGTGTATAGTTCTGAATCTTCCTGGAGTGGCTCCCAACTTTTGATTGTGCAGGCAGTGAGATATGACAGAGTCTGAGAACTGTGAGAAGGGGAGATTCCTGAATCTAACTCAGTGGCATTCCTTCTCTGGGCTCTCCGCCTTCATTTGGGTCAGTGCTAACATTCTCTGGTGTACATTTTAAGAAGCACTCACAGTTAACGAGTCAGGACATCACTGAGAGAGTCTCTCCATGTGATTGGACGACATCAGATCTGCTTTATGGTAAATGGAACATGTTCAAAATGAGTTGTTGTTCAGCTGCTAAGTTCTGTCTGACTCTTTGAGACCCCATGGACTGCACAAACCAGCTTCCCTGTTCTCAGAAATGGGTTACAATCAGAGTTATCCAGGCTCTAAAATAAGTCAGTTTTCAGTAAAATTTAAATCAAATATATTTGTTTGTGTGTATATATATGTGCATGTGTATGTGTATATATATATGTATTCACTTTCTCTATTAAAATGGACACTAACTTTTCCCTTGATTTCATCACAAACTACCCACTCTGCTGTATTGTGATCATTTTATCTTGCTTTTTTAAAAAAAATATCATGTACATTTAATATTCAACTGATTGGGCAACTTCCCTTTGTCAGCACTTAGAAAAGCAATGGTGGTGAGAAGATTGAATATTGTCAAGTCATAGATATTTGGAATTGGCAGACTTTACTCTTGTTAGTTAGAGGCTTCTTCCTGTTCAAATCCAGTCATATCTGACTGAAGTGAGCTGGCTTGTTTTGCCATTTCAATTTGTGAAGTGGATAAAGTCTGTAGGTCTACTCTACTATTTTCCAAAGTGAGGACTTCTTCAGAGACCTGTTGGATCAGAATCTCAGGGATTTTTTTCATGAGATTCTGTATGCTTTTCACACTCAAGCACATCAAAGTTTGAAAAATCCATAGGGTTTCCCTGGTAGCTAAGATGGTAAAGAATCTGCCTGCAATGAGAGAGACCCAGGTTTGATCCCTGAGTTGGGAATATCCGCTGGAGAAGGGTATGGTTACCTGCTCTAGTATTCTGGCCAGGAGAATTCCACGGACAGAGAAGCCTGGCTGGCTCCAGTCCATAAAATTACAAAGAGTTGGACACAACTGAGCAACTAACACTGTCACTTCACTTTTCAGGGAATCCACAATTCCCTGATTTTCTGTAAGTATCAGGTACGAGGAAATCTTACCTGAGAGATTTTTTGTTGTTGTCAAATACCTGATTTTTTACAAAGGAAAAAGAAGTTTTTCTATTTGAAAAGCTCTAAATAAGTGTCACTCAAAAATATTCCTGCCCTGACTTACACAGTATAAGAGGGTGTTCTTTCACATTAAGGCATTTTTTGGGACCCTCTTTTACTGGGAAGAGCACTCTGAAATGATCTCATTCATCAAAACTTTCCTTGGAATTAGCTTGACGGAGATCATCAAGTCAGCCCTTCAGTGAAGTCCTGAAACAATGATATCAGGACTAGTGGATTTTGGTGAGAATTACGGAAGGGTGAGTCAAGACCCTAGAGTATTCCTGGGTGAAGACAGACCCAAACCTCAGTTTGGAAAGGTAATGGGAACTTTGGGTGAACTCCTACTGAGAATCAGGCCTTGGGCTGCAAGCCTTGTGTGCATTTTCTCTAAATTTTCACAGCAGTTACCTCTATTTATAGAGAAGGAAACTGAGCCTCTGAAAAGGTAACTTGTCCAAGATTTTGTGGCCTGTAAGTTGTAAACAAAACAAAATAAATAAAATCAAAACAAAATTCTATACCTTTCTTACCTTACTTCCTGAAACTTGAGAGTAGCGACTGGGGGGCTGTGTAATAAAAGGCAGCATGAGGACATAGAACATAATGGAATGAGGTGCCCGCAAAGCAGGGAGGTGGGAGGTGGGGAAGCTTCAACCTCAGTCAGCTCAGATTGCCAAGAAGCCCCATTCAATTACAAGCCCTTTCAGATTTGGAGGGTGTTAACATCTTCAATTGCTCCTAAGAAATGATAAGCTCGAAAACCTGTAGAGGAAGATTTTCTTATGGCAACAATAATGACAAAAGTCTTTTTTACCCCCCAGTCTTCCATTGAAGAAGCTGAGTGCTCTGATGTTCAACTATAAATACTTCCTAGAGATTCAGAGAGTAGGTACA